CGGCTGGAGGTGGGCGACAATGACCTGGTGTTCATCTCGCGCCGGGCCTTCGCGGGGCTGCTGGCGCTGGAGGAGCTGACCCTGGAGCGCTGCAACCTCACCGCCCTGTCGGGGGAGTCGCTGGGCTACCTGCGGGGCCTGAGCGCGCTGCGGGCTGCGCCACCTGGCATCGCCGCGCTGGAGGACCAGAACTTCCGCCGGCTCCCGGGCCTGCTGCACCTGGAGATCGACAACTGGCCGCTGCTGGAGGAGGTGGCCCCCGGCAGCCTGCAGGGCCTCAACCTGACCTCGCTGTCGGTCACCCACACCAACATCACCGCCGTGCCAGCCGCCGCGCTGCGCCCACCAGGCCCACCTCACCTGCCTCAACCTGTCGCACAACCCCATCAGCACGGTGCCGCGCGGGGTCCTTCCGGGACCTGATCCGCCTGCGTGAGCTGCACCTGGCCGGGGGCCCTGCTGGCCGTGGTCGAGCCACAGGCCTTCCTGGGGCTGCGTCAGATCCGCCTGCTCAACCTCTCCAACAACCTGCTGTCCACGTTGGAGGAGAGCACCTTCCACTCGGTCAACACGCTGGAGACGCTGCGCGTGGACGGGAACCCGCTGGCCTGCGACTGCCGCCTGCTGTGGATCGTGCAGCGCCGCAAGACCCTCAACTTCGACGGGCGGCTGCCGGTCTGCGCCACCCCGGCCGAGGTGCGCGGGGACGCGCTGCGCAACCTCCCGGACTCCGCGCTCTTCGAGTACTTCGTGTGCCGCAAGCCCAAGATCCGAGAGCGGCGGCTGCAGCAGGTCACGGCCGCGGCGGGGGAGGACGTGCGCTTCCAGTGCCGCGCGGAGGGCGAGCCGGCGCCCACCGTGGCCTGGGTGACACCGCAGCACAGCGCGGTGACCAGCGCCAGCGCCGGCCGGGCGCGCGTGCTGCCGGGGGGCACGCTGGAGATCCTGGACGCGCGGCCGCAGGACAGCGGCACCTACACGTGCGTGGCCAGCAACGCGGGCGGCAACGACACCTACTTCGCCACGCTGACCGTGCAGCCCGAGCCTGCCGCCAACCGGACCCTGGGCGAGGGCCGCAACGAGACCCTGGCGGCCGCGCGCTTCCCGCTGGATCTCACCACCATCCTGGTGTCCACGGCCATGGGCTGCATCACCTTCCTGGGCGTCGTCCTCTTCTGCTTCCTGCTGCTCTTCGTGTGGAGCCGGGGCCGTGGGCAGCACAAGAACAACTTCTCCGTCGAGTATTCCTTCCGCAAGGTGGATGGTCCGGCCGCCGGCGCGGGCCAGGGAAGCTCCCGCAAGTTCAACATGAAGATGATCTGAGGGGCCCTGGGGGCGGCCTCCCCGCAGGGCTGCGGGCTCTCGGTGGAGCGAGGAGATCCCGTCTCTGTCCCCACCAGCCCCTCGCTGGCCTGTCCAATGACACCTATGCATTTCCCAGAGGAGGGGCTGCAAGCTGACTCCCGGCAGCACTTCCCTTTTTTTGTAGAGGCCCAACCACAGGACTTTTTTCATCGGGATGTGTCTTTTGCAGAGTCTCTCGAGCATTTTCTAAGGGTTCCCCTGTCTTCCTGGCCCTGAGTGGTCACTGAGCTGCGTGTGGGGGGTGGGGGGAGCCTCAGAAACCTAGGGTCCTCACTGCTAACAGTTCCCACCCACCCAGAGGCACACAGCTGCTGCCCCCAGGACCCCCTGACAGCTCACACCTGGGGAGAGGGTCTATACTCAGGACGCTTGGAGGGCGCACAAAAGCCTATACTGTTCACACCTGGACACCCCACGCCTCACACCCAGCACACACATTCACACCCAGGACACAATGAGACACACAGTTCTACCGTGGAACACCCACACCTGGCACTAAACAGATGCCCCAGGCTCCAGAGCTCACCCCGGGCACAGCTCGCACCTGGGACAAGCAGCCCACATTTGGAACACACCCAGCTCACACCTGAGTCACACATAGCTCACACCTGGGACACAGCCAGCTCCTGCTCAGCTGGCCAACTCTGGGGTATCTTGGGGGCTGGGCTAAGGTCTTGTTAAGCTGGTCAGGCTCACCCTGCGGGTGCCCAGCACACTAGGTGGTCCCAGACACGCCGGCCCCACCTTTGCCCCCGACTCCCTCCACCAGGACCCACGGGCCCAGCAGGGCAGGCTGCCACTAGGAGAAGCCATTTCACCAGGTTCCTCCACCACCCTCAGAGCCGCCATCTGGTCAGTGAGCCCACACCATGTCAGAGGGGCAGCTTCCCTGGTCCCTGGCCAGGAGCATAGCTTCTGGGGTGTCCTCCAGCAAGCCAGCTGTCGTGACCTCCAATCCTGAGCCAATCCCGTGTCTCCTTGCTCGCGTGGGGAATGAGACCAGAGAATGTGAGCGGCTCTCGGGGTCCCTGTTCCGTGCATTGCAGGGCAGCCACGGGGAGCAGGCCTGGACAGGGGGTCAGGCTACGGGGAGGCCTGGACCTGGTTTGTTGAGAGAAGGTGACAGAAGCACCTTGGTCTCTGCAACTCGAGGACCAAAGAGTAGAGGCTCATAGGCTGTAGCTCAGGTTGAGAAAGTTTCCTCAAGGCCACGGCCCCATTGCTCTTCAGAAAGCAGTTTCCCATCATCGCGGATACGAAAGCAGGAGCTGAGGCACTGCAGACGTATTCAGACACAGGCAGGGACTGTCCGCGGCCCTGCCTCCCCCAGCCTGGTTCTTGCCCCCACTCTCTACCTCAGCCAGACAACAGTTAAGGCACCGTTGGGGGAAGGGGCACAGGAAACGTTGTGGGGCCTGACCTCGGTCAGAAAGGAGCTGGCCTCAAACCAGAAGGTTAGGACAGTGTTCACAAGGACCTTGTAGGAGGGCTGAAAGCCAGCGGTGTTCCGCCCGCTGCGTCATCGTGGTTGGTGACTGAGGGCCTGTAAAACCCATCGCCACATAGAGAGGCGGGGCCCATGGACAGGCTCAATGTGGTCTTGGTTCCTGGATCCCTCAAGATCTTCTGAGATGAGCCAGAGAGAAAGCCAGGTCAACCCTGGAGGTACTGAGCAAAGGATTCAGACAGAACTCAGAAGGGGACCTTGGCTGGGCTGTGGCTGGGAATGCCAGAGGCCCCAGTCCTGCCCCCACAATGTGCACAGGCCAGCATGGTGGAGTGGTAGGTCGCTGATCATGGCCAGCCAGGGTGGGGGCTCCATCCTAACACCACTTGTGAGTGAGGGGGTGTCCAGCAGCTGCATACCCCACGCAAGTTGGGCAAAGCCGAATCGTTTTTTTCCCTTAGCACTCGCCTGAACTTGGTTGCCATGACAACCCTGGGAGCCTTTCAAAATGACATCCAAGTGCCTTTAGCATCATCAAGAAGAGAGGGGGTGTGTTCTCGGCAGTGTTAGGACTTACAGAACATCACACAGAGTGGGACCTCCCAGCCCCTCTGCCCGCCCCCCCCCATTCCAACATGAACCAAGACACCCCCCCCCAGACTCCCACCCCATCCTGCTGTATTTGGTTGGAATCATTAAAAAATAAACCAGTTTAATAACAAACCTCAGGTTTTGTGTGTGTGTGTGTGTGTGTGTTTTCAAACCTCAGGTGTTTTTTTGTTTGTTTGTTTTAAATATATTTTATTGATTTTTTACAGAGAGGAAGGGAGAGGGATAGAGAGTTAGAAACATCGATGAGAGAGAAACATTGATCAGCTGCCTCCTGCACACCCCCTACTGGGGATGTGCCCACAACCAAGGTACATGCCCTTGACCGGAATCGAACCTGGGACTCTTCAGTCCGCAGGCCGACGCTCTATCCGCTGAGCCAAACCGGTCAGGGCACAAACCTCAGGTTTTTAAAAAATTTTACAAGAGGAGGAGTCGGGGCAGAAATGATGGATGAGGAATAAGGGGCTGCAGGCGTCCCCGGGGGGAGCTGCCTGGCTCCAGCCCCAAAGCTGACCCTGCATCAGGGGACGTTTGTGGAGAGGGAGTGAATGGTGAAAAGTTAGAGGTGGAACTTCAGGAGCACCATGCTGTTTCCAGGCTGCGCCCCTGTGCTAACTCCTTTCCTGCTGATGACGACCCGGGAGCTGGATCCTGCTGTGGTCCCATTTACAGGTGGGCGGAGCGCCGGAGGTTGCAGGGAGAGGCAGGTGCCGAGAAGGGCAGGTGGGACTTGCTGTCGGGAACCCCCTGCCCCATGCTTCGCCCGGGGGCAGAGCCAGCAATGGGGGGAACGGAGAAGTGAGGCGCAGTCCACCACTGAGCCTGGAGCTGGTGGCTCCCTCCCCCAGGGCTGGGGGTGGGTCTCCTCGGACAGAGGCCCATCACCGTTCCGGTCTCTGGGGGCTCTGGGGAAAGGCAGGCAGTCCTGAGTGCTGGATGTCATACGAGTACACATTTCATTCTCTCTCGCACCTCCACCTGATAGATGAGAAACTGAGGCACGGAGTCGGGGTCAGGGCTCAGACGCTGCTGGCCTCTGAAAGCCTGTGCCCCTTCTGGAAGGAGCTGGGCCAACTCAGAGCAGTCAGCAGAAGCATGGCCAAGAGCAGCCTCTCACTTGCCTCCCTCCCCATGTTACTCTCTGGGCCTCAGTTTCCCCATTTGAGCATGGTGGGGGGGAAGGTTTCTGTTCTGCTCTGCAAAATAGGAACATGTCAGGGGCTTTGGAGTGCTCCTCCGTGCCTGATTTCAAAGAAGCCAGAAAGTGGGGGGCCTGGGCCTCGTTTTTCCTAGTCCTTCTGCAGCAAAAGCAGGAGAAACGATTGCCTCGTGTGCCTCAGTTTCCCCATGCATGGGGTCTACTGAGTCCCTAGTTCAAGCCAGGTACAGATTCAGGATTTTCTAAACCCTGGCTTATTCTTTTTTTTTTTAATATATTTTTATTGATTTTTAGAAAGGAAGGGAGAGGGATAGAGATAGAAACATCCATGATGAGAGAGAATCATTGATCGGCTGCCTCCTGCACGCCCCCTACTGGGGATCAAGCCCACAACCCAGGCATGTGCCCTTGGCCGGAATCGAACCTGGGACCCTTCAGTCCGCAGGCCGACGCTCCATCCACTGAGCCAAACCGGCCAGGGCGACCCTGGCTTGTTCTTGAGGTGGGGGTGGGGGGAAGGAAAGTCAGATGATTCGATTTTTTTTTTTTTTGAAAAGAGAGATTTCAATTATTCAGTGTTCTTGGTTTTTCAATAATGGATACAGAAGTATAAGCCAGGGCCTCTTCCCACAGAATTGACATTGTGAATAGAAAACAAGACAGACACTACATAACAAAGGCAAATAATTCCTGGAGATAAATATATGTGTTTTGCAAAATACACATTTTCATAGAAATGCATAACTAAATAGTGACTCCATGGTGTTTCAGTTATATCACGAAGGGCTGTGGGGTGTCCGGGTGTAAAATAAATCCCATTACCAGATAAAACACTAGTGGCCCATCGAGCTAAACAGCATCTCCAGAGGCATCAAAAGAAGTGGTAGGGCCGAAACTGGTTTGGCTCAGTGGATAGAGCATCGGCCTGCGGACTCAAAGGTCCCAGGTTCGATTCCGGTCAAGGGCATGTACCTGGGTTGCGGGCACATCCCCAGTAGGGAGTGTGCAGGAGGCAGCTGATTGATGTTTCTCTCTCATCGATGTTTCTAACTCTCTATCTCTCTTCCTTCTTCTCTGTAAAAAATCAATAAAATATATTTAAAAAAAAAAAGAAGTGGTAGGGAAAGCAGAGGGACATGTCAGACACTTTAACTTATAACTGTATCCAGCCCAGCTGGAGTGGCTCGGTTGGTTGAGCGTTGGCCTGTGCCCTGAAAGGTTGCCGGTTTGATTCCCGGTCAGGGCACATGCTTGGGTTGCAGGTTCAATCCCTGGAAGGCAGCCGATGGATCTCCCTCTCTCTCTCTCTCTCTCCCCTCTCCCTTCCTCTCTCTAAGAATGTCCTGCAGTGGGGATTACAAAAACAAACAAGCACAAAAACTTTATAAGTGTATCCAAAGTTTGAAAACACCACGAGGAAGCTTAGGAACCCCAGCAGTCAGTGAATGGGCTCCTAAATGTCCGTTACACCTACAGGCTTCAGATGCAGCCGCTCAGACTCCGCCTCTGAGCGGGATATACAAGAAGTTCATGTCTCCCTGTGTTGGCTTCCTCTTCCTTAGCCTTTTCTTTTTGTATCTTCAATCACCTCTGTCAAAGAATAACTATAAGTAATTGTGAAGTGTTAAATTCTGACAGCAAAGCAAAATTAGAGCTAGTCCTAGCTGGTTTTGCTCAGTGGATAGAGCGTCGGCCTGCAGACTGAAGGGTCCCAGGTTCGATTCCGGCCAAGGGCACATGCCTGGGTTGTGGGCACATCCCCAGTAGGGGGCGTGCAGGAGGCAGAATCAGTGATTCCCTCATCATTGATGTTTCTATCTCTCTCTCCCTCTCCCTTCCTCTCTAAAATCAATAAAATATATATTTTTTAAAATTAGAGTTAAAGGCAAATGTTTAACCAAACGTGTTTAAGCACAAGCCAGTGAATGAAGAACTTTAAGTTCCAAGAGCCAAATATTCTGCATTTCTGAGAAATCCGTTTGTCATTGCACTTGGTTTCCACAAACCAAGTGGGTGTACATTTAAAAAATATATTTTATATGTTTTATTGATTTCAGAGAGAGGAAGGGAGAGGGAGAGATAGAAACATCAATGATGAAAAAGAATCATTGATCGGCTGCCTCCTGCACGCCCCGCACTGGGGATGGAGCCCAGGCAGCATGTGTCACGACCAGGAATCAAACCGTGACCTCCTGGTTCATGGGATGATGCTCAACCTAAGTGGTATACATTTTTGAGTGTTGATTTATCGCTAGAAGACTTGGATTAGGAGACTGAAAGAAAACATTTTGTACCTACGTACATTTTAAAAATCCCATCCAGGAAGAAGGAGCCAGGTGTCAGCTTCCTATGGGGAAACGTTCTCATGGAGGAACTATAAGGCCAAGTCGGTCCGCTTTATTTCTTGTTCTTTAACGGATTCTGTGGTTCCACCTTGTCCCATTCAGGTTCAGAAAGCTTACTCAGTAGTATTGCGACATCCTCTTAAGATGATTTATCTTCTTTTTTAAAAAAAATATTTTTTTATTGATTTCAGAGAGGGAGAGAGAAGGAGAGAAAGATCAATGATGAGAGAGAATCATTGATCAGCTGCCTCTGGCACGCCCCCTACTGGGGATCAAGCCCACAACCTGGGCATGTGCCCTTGGCTGGAATTGAACCCAGGACCCTTCTGTCTGCAGCCGAGGCTCTATCCACTGAACCAAGCCGGCCAGGGCAGCAGTTTATCCTCTAGACAAGCATTGTCAATCAAATCCAAGATCCTTCCATCTCTCTGTACCTCCTGCAGCTTTGATCTTGCCAAGTCGGCACCCAGCCCAGCGGTGCACCCACTACTGCCAGAACCCGGAAGATTCAAATTTTTAATCCTCACTCGAGGATACATTCATTGATTTTAGAGAGAGACAGGTAGGGTGAGAAAGAGAGAGAGAAACATTGATGTGAGAGAAAACCATCGATCGGTTGCCTCCTGTGCAGGCCCTGACCAGGGATCAAACCCCCAACCTTTTGGTGCATAGTTCAGTGTTCCAACCAACTGAGCCACCCAGCCAGGGCCGGGCTCAATTTTTTATTTTTAAATATATTTTTTATTGATTTCAGAGAGGAAGGGAGAGGGAGAAAGAGATAGAAACATCAGTGATGAGAGAGGTAAGGCTGGCTGCTTCCTGCATCTATTGGCTGCCTCCTGCACGCCCCCTCCTGGGGGTGAAGCCTGCAACCCAGGCATGTGCCCTTGAGCTGAATTGAACCCGGGACCCGTCAGTCCACAGGCAGACGCTCTATCCACTGAGCCAAACTGGCTAGGGTGGGCTCAATTTTTTAAAGAAAAATCTAGCTAGTGTGGCCAAGAGAGGGGGAGACACCTTTCTTTGTTGAACACAGAGTGCTGGGGATTTGCATAGGTCGCATAGCAAGTCAGAACAGAGTCAGGCCCCAAGCCCTGACCGGTTTGGCTCAGCGGATAGAGCGTCGGCCTGCGGACTGAAGGGTCCCAGGTTCAGTTCCGTTCAAGGGCATGTACTTTGGTTGCGGGCACATTCCCAATAAGGGGCGTGCAGGAGGCAGCTGATCAATGTTTCTCTCTCATCTATGTTTCTCTCTATTCCTCTCCCTTCCTCTCTGTAAAATATCAATAAAATACATTAAAAAAAAAAAAAAGAACAGAGTCAGGCCCCAATAGGGCAGCACCCACCCAAAGCACAATCCTGGTCTGAAGATCCTGGAATGGGGCAGGGGGGCAGGGGTGGCCCACGCACTGGGCGTTTCTCAGATGGTCCCACAGAAGGGGAAGTTGTTCTCCAGGAAATGAAAGCCACAGAAAAAAGAGCCCTGGTTGGGTTTCTCACTAAACAATCTTTGTTGGGGTTCCTTGCCCTCCCCAAAGGTGGGGGACCTGAAACTTCTCACTCTCCCTAATCTCCTGGGACTACCCACTGCCGCCCACCTGGAGTGACCTTCAGGACTTCGACCTGTCTCCCCGTCCTGCCCCTGCCCTGCTCTCAGCCCTGGACTGTTGACTTCTGGCTCCCACTTCCTGGTGTTTAGTACGCAGGCTGTGCTTCTGCCTGAGACGCCGTTCCTACCTTTGAGGGAGTGTGTGGCTGGTCCCGGAGGCAAAAACGCTCCCGCCCCACCCGGCCTTCTAGGCTAACTGTTTCCAGGTCGCTGCCTGTGACAGATCAGACTGTCCTGGGAGGCCAGGGGCGGCGGCTCTTAGGAGTTTGTTCTCAAGGCCGCCTGCCCAGCAGTCACTTCTGTCCTGAAGGTAGGAGGCTCCGGGAGGAGTGCTGGGGCAGGGAGAGGGCAGAAGCAGCAACTTCTCCAGGTTGGGGTGATCTGGAATCTGGGTGGGGCAGGGCTGGAGGTGGGGCTGCTGTTGGCCTGCAAGGGCTGAGCTCTGGGGATGAGGCCCAAGTACAGGTCCCTGAATATTGTGGCTGGCCCCCAGCTTTCCCCCTGTTGGCCCACCCTTACGGCTGGATAGTCTATCCATGTCACAAAAGCACCAGGTGCTTCCCACCACCCTGAAATATTGATGGGCAACATCCCTGTCTTGCTGATGAAGAAAGGAGCCCAGAGAGGGCAAGAAACCCCCCCAGGATCACACAGCAGGGTTAAGGCTGGGCAAGAGGGCCAAGGTGTGTGAGACTGCCCTGCTTTCGCCGAGGTCCCTGCACATTCACCCACAACCATGAACCGCTCACAGACACCCCATAAATGCCCACTTACACATGCCCCCCACTTACTCAGCAGCATGAGCAGCTCCAAGCTACTCACCAAGACCCCGAGACCCAATGCCCCCACCTTGCTGATTCAGCCCACATTCGACACCCTTGTTGAGCCACCTAAGGGCACCCTGGGCTAGGGGGCGAGAGGGGGGAGCATGTCACCAGATCCCTCCCAGATGGCCAGAGAGAAAGGATAGACTCTCTAATTACCATTGAAGGTACTCTCCGCCTAATGATGGTTTTAAGTCAATTATATTAGCTTTTTTACTACCTTTGTTTAAAAAAAAAAAAAAAAAAAAAGCTGGGCTCACCAGGTTGTAAAACTCTGAGGAAACTGGAGTTCAGAGAGCTGCAGGGGGCTGCTCAAAGCCACACAAGGAAGTGGGGGTGCAGGGGGTCACCTAGCACTGGGCTTCTCTGCCACTGAAGGTCACTCCTCTAAGCCTGTTTCCTCCTCTGTGCACAGGTGTCATCCTACCTCACAAGGCTCAGGGCAGTTGGCTATTAGTGTTATTTCCACTTCAGAGATGGGGACACGGGGCTGAGGGCTGGAGTCCTGTATCTAGGGCCCCATACTCTGTGCATCCTCCCCCCTCCTCCCCCCTCCTCCATCCAGGTCCTCCTCAGCCGACCTCAGCTGACCCACAGCCCCTGCCCCCACCCCTGCCTAAGAAGACCTGAGCTGCCCACCGACAGGCTCCCAGCCCCAGCCCCCACTCCCAGCAGGCAGCATCAGAGGCCCCATTCTGGGTCCCACAGGGTGGACGAGAGTCAAATAGGCAATGACAAGACTGGCCACTTGTCCCCCTGCAGAGCTGCCCTTCTGCTTGATGGACACTGAGCCGGGCCTGTCCTTCCACGACCAGAGGCCTGGCAGCTGGAGGGCTTCTGTGCCATGTGTACTTGGCTCCCGACTCAGGTGCTGGGGGGGCACCCGGCCCTCCCCGCCTGCACTGAGAGCAGAGCGGTAATGCCCTCTACTACCGCATGGTGCGGGTAGATGAGGCCTGGCCTGGCCGCCAAGAGGAGCCCCACCATCACCGCTCCTCCGCCAAGGGCTCTCCAACTTTCCCTCCTAGGCATACCCGCACCTGCTTATTTCACAGCCAACGAATTAACAGTCAGCCCTGGGAACCACGTTTCTCCATCACCTGGGAGACTTGTTAAAACACCCTCCCCACACCACTCAGGGGCCCAGCAATCTGCAATTTTAACTCACTCCCCAGTAGATTCTGGCTAGAAAGCCACTGAGTTTACCAGCCACAGCCAGCTGACAGCCACCACTTTAAATAATAATAACTGTAATAATCATCATCATCAGCTTCCAAAATGTATTGAACACTTCCTCTGTCTTGTGCTGTTCTAAGGCCTTTTAAATGTTTCTTTTTAATGTTTTTATTGATTCTAGAGAGAGAGGAAGGGTGAGAAAGAGAGAGAGAAGCATTGATCGGTTGCCTCCCGCACACACCCCAACCAGGAATCAAACCCGAAACCTGAGTATGTGTCCTGACTGGGAATCAAACCAGCGACCTTTTGGTCCATGGGATGATGCTCAACCACCTGAGCCACACTGGCCAGGGCTGTTCTAAGAACTTTAGACTCATTTACTCATCTAATCCTCACTCTGGCTTTAGGATGCAAGTGTCACCACATTTCATCAGATGTTTGTTTTACCCTGGTTGGTTCCTCAGTGGTTAGAGCACTGGCCTATGCACTGAAGGGTCTCTTCAATTAATGGTGTTTGAAAAATTGGACAGATACATGCAAAAAAATGAAACTAGACCACCAACTTACACCATACACAAAAATAAACTCAAAATAGATAAAGGACTTAAATGTAAGACGGGAAACCATAAAAATACTAGAGGAATCCAAAGGCAACAAAATCTCAGACATATGCCGAAGCAATTTCTTCACCAAAGAGAAAATAAACAAATGGGACTACATCAAAATAAAAAGCTTCTGTACAGCAAAAGAAACCATCAACAAAACAACAAGAAAGCCCACTGCGTGGGAGAACATATTTGCCAATGTTATCACCGATAAGGGTTTAATCTCCAACATTTATAGGGAACTCATACAACTTAACAAAAGGAAGATAAACAATCCAATCAAAAAATGGGCAAAGGACCTAAATAGACAGCTTTCAAAAGAGGACATTCAGAAAGCCAAGAGACATATGAAAACATGCTCCAAGTCACTAATCATCCGAGAAATGCAAATCAAAACAACAATGAGGTACCATCTCACACCTGTCAGAATGGCTATCATCAACAAATCAACAAATGACAAGTGCTGGAGAGGATGTGGAGAAAAGGGAACACTCATGCACTGGTGGTGGGAATGCAGACTGGTGCAGCCACTGTGGAAGACAGTATGGAGTTTCCTCAAAAAACTAAAAATGGAACTCCCATTTGACCCACTGATCCCACTTCTAGGAATATATCCCAAGAAACCAGAAACACCAACCAGAAAGGATATATGCATCCCTATGTTCATAGCAGCACAATTCACCATAGCTAAGATTTGGAAACAGCCTAAATGCCCATCAGCAGAAGAATGGATTAGAAAACTGTGGTACATCTACACAATGGAATACTATGCTGCTGTAAAAAAGAAGGAATTCTTACCATTTGCAACAGCATGGATGGAACTGGAGAGCATTATGCTAAGTGAAATAAGCCAGTCAATGAAAGAAAAATACCACATGATCATTTATGGATAATAAAGACCATTATAAACTGATGAACAAAAATAGAAACAGAGGCAGAGCAGCATTGAACAGACTGTCAAACTACAGTGGGAAGCCTGGGGAGGGTTGGGGGGAGCGATAAGATATGAACCAAAGGACTTGTATGCATGCATATAAGCATAACCAATAGACATAAGACACTGGGGGGTAGGGCAGGCCGGGGGAATGTCAAGGGTGGGGGGGAGGGGGAGACATATGTAATACTCTAATACTTAAAGCAATAAAAAAAAAAAGAAAAAACAATATATAATTATATATGTTTTCCGATGGTTTTAGGCGACACCTGTGAAAGGGTCGTTCAACCCCCAAAGGGGTTGCGACCCACAGGTTGAGAACTGCTCCTCTAGAGGCTCTGTGGTCTGGTGTCTGAGGGTGCACTGCCTGAGAGGTGCCCTAGAGCAGTCCCATGGGAGCACAGAGGCCCACAGACTTCGCCTAAGCCTTGGCCTTGCTGCTGCTGCAGCTGAGCACAGCCCTGGAGCACCTGGAGGCCTGGGCACATTCCTAGCAGAGCTGCAGCCGGGAAACCTGCTGCTGGGATGCCACGGGACTGCTCGGACTCCAGGGCCCTGTGCCTGCTGCTCTGGGTGCCCAGGAACTGCAGCTGGACTGTCTGCTCGGCCCTGTGCCCCCGCGGACCCGGAACACCTGGCATCCCAGGCGCTGCTCTGGGGACCCTGGCCGGAGCTGTGTGGCCGCGGAGCACTGCTGGGCCCTGGCTGCGGGTGTGCCATGCTCTGCTGGTCCTGCACCTAGTGGAGCAGGCCACTGGTGCGGAGGAGCCGAACCTGAAGGACTAGCTGAGCTGTGGATACCTGGCAGAGGCCATGAAGCCCTCACTGGGCCGCGCCCTGGCACTGCTGTGGGACTGACCCTCCGAGAGTGAGTGGCTGTTCCAGGGCCTCTGCACGAGGTAGGCACTCCTTCCAGGGTTGGGGCTGGTGTCAGTGCCTTCAAGAGGGTCTGTGCCCCCTTCCAGAAGGCTAGTGCACCCCTCCTCCAATGCCTGCCCCCTTCTTTTGTTGGGTATTTAGGCCCACGTCCACCCCAAGAAGGCAGGTGTCCCCTTCCAGGGCTGAGGACTAAGGCCAGGGCCAGCGAGGCTTTCTGATGCCAGGGCCACCTGCCCCTCTTCCCGGTGTGGACACCCCCTGCCCGTCAATGTGTGTGGAACTCCTCCCCCCACCGTCCAGCAGAAGCCAGGGTGTCCTAGTGCTGGGGTCTGATAATCCCGGTCTCCACAGCAGCAGAGCACGGACACTCCCTCCAGCACCAGCACAGGTTGAACTGGCCTGCAAGACCCATCAGGGGACCTGAGGGAGTGAATGGGAACTCAGTTTATGCCTCTGAAAATGGACACAGGAGCCCTGAGGGGTCCACCGCTCTTGCCTGGGCCTCCAGTCATGCCTCCTTACTCCTCCTCCCCGAACAGGGTGATCCTGGAGGGACTGTTCCTAACCCCCAGATATGACCAGCTCTGTACCTCCAAACCTTTGGAAACTGGCTCCATCACCCAGGTAGCTGAGTATCCCATCCCAACCCAGCACCTTTCCTCCTGTCAAAGATACCCCTTTGCAGCCTATTTCCCAGCCAAGGCCTGGATATGAATTTCCAGGCAATGCCCAGGTGCAGCCAGCAGGTGGCGCTACGATGCTGCCAATCTTGGGACTAGAGCACCACCTCGCCCCTCCACTGCAGGACCAGTCTCCCCCAGGAGTGCTCCTATTCCAGCATGGCATTGGGAGGCCCTCCCCAGGGGCAACTGGGGTGCACAGGGTCTGCACAGTTGCTAGAGGGGGGCCCACATCCACACACATCCATACTGCCCTGGTTAAATCTCCCACAGGCCACGCCCCCCCCCCAGCTTCAGGCAGAGGCGAGGCCATTCAGGGAAGTGGAAGCCAGCCAGCCTCCAGCCTTGGTCACCCCAGGGAAGGGCACGGGACAGGGGACCTGAAGGTCCAAGGTGTGGGTGAGGTAGGGCATATTGCCATCCAGAGCTGCCTTGCTGCGGTGGCAGCAAAGTAGGGCCCCAGGATCCTGAAACCTGCCATGGAGCTGAGCCACTCAACACATCCCACAGAACCTGGTTGTGGCCAGACAAGAGACTAAGACATTGGCTTCCCATCCTGGGCCTGTTTCCTCTGTCAAGGGAGTTACTCAGCTCAGAATGCATCCATCACACACTTGCAAACAGCCCCAGGCCACACCAGATAACTGAGGCCCCTCCAGGCCAACTTAACACCACTGAGCCCAGACAGATCTTAGATGTCATTTTTATTCAGATTTTTTCAAAGCAATAGAAGGGTAGATTAATACCTATCTTTCCAAGTTAAGACCTAAAACTGTTTCCAAAACTTCAAATAAGAAAACTCCTGCTTGAAGTACAAGGATAATCTGTATCACCTTAAACCAGCAATAAAAAAGTAAAATATAAACTTTTATTTAGAATTAAAGCAAATACTTCAGTATCACAAACACAATATTAAACTTCAAGAAATATACCGCTAATTTGGAGTGAGCATTTATTTGCACAATTACAACATGCGGACAAAACCCAGAAGAGGGGAGCAGGCCTGGCATTTGCACCCCAGTGCAGCAGTTGGTCACACCACCAGCACAAAGCGAGACACACGAAGGGGCTACGATCTGCGATGATCTGACAGTGGTGGCAGAGGTGAGGGTGCAGGTGGTGCAGCTGCTACTCGTCCTCGTCCGAAGACTCTCTCTCAAATGTGTAGGCCATGAAGCAAGCGTCGGGTCTCTTGGGGACAAGGGGATGCCCCGGTCTCACAATCTCAAAGCCCATAAAGCTGAAGGTTCGGAGCAGAGCGGCTGTGGAGGAAAACTGCATCTGAGCCCGCTGGCCTCCAGCTTCTCTGCCCACCCACCTTCACAGATGGCCCCTAACAGAAGCCTCCCAGGGGCTGCAGCAGTAACGGGCAGGGAAGCTCAGCAGGGTCCCGTGAACAGCATGGCCAAGACCTGACAACAGGACCTTAGGCCACAGGTCTCCACCCTGGGTCTCCTTTTATCCCTGCAAGAGCAGCTGGTGATGGTGGTCACCTACCTCTGTCATCACGGTTCTTGTGGAAGCAAATGAAGACATGGTCAGCATGCAGCTGCTCCTCAGCAAACTCGAGAAGAACTGCAAAGCTGAAGTGCAACTGTCAGAATCTGCCCACCCTCATGTGCCCCTCATAAGGGCCAAGCCTGCACCTCCACTTCTCTTAAAGGGCTTGATTGATGGGAGCACAACTTCCAGGTATAGACCTAGAGGCACTGGGGCTGGGTCATTCTGTGTGGAGGTTGAGCATCCCTGATCCCATCCCCTCAATGCCAGGATCAACCCTAAGGGGCACCCCCGGATGTGACCACCAGATGTCCATAAATATGGCCGTGCCCCCTGTGGAGGATCTCCGGAAAACTGCTAGACCACTACTCAAAATAGGGATGGCCGGCCTGACTCTGGACTCTGGTTTCCCTCCTCCCCTAGGAGTGAGGACACGACAGGCTGGCCCTCACCTGTCTTTGCTCCCCTCTGGCAGAGCTCCGCCTGGGATCTCGATGTAGAGGCAGCTACTGCTCAGCACTGCTCTCCAGTTGATGTGTTTGGCATCTGTGAGCCTGGTCTGGACATTGAGAATTCTCGTCTTGTTATTAGACGTTAGTTCCTCTGTTACATTCAGCCTATTATCCTGTGAAAGGAAAGAACCAAGTTCAAACCTTTAGACATCAACCCCCACAGACTGAGTGGCCGATCTTCCTCCTCAATGCCACAGTTTGGTAAACCCAGAAAAGCACCAAATCAACCAGTCACCCAGGCCCCTAGGGGAGGTGGCTCGAGCCAGGGTCAGGGTGGGAGCCCCAGGCTAGGGCGAAACAGTTCACCAAGGGGTACTTTGGCTCAGTAAAGGGCCTGGGCTGCAACCTGTGTGTGTCCCCTGATCCTCAGATTCTGAGAATTCAATAAAATCGTGTAGTTAGAGTCCTAGCACACAGCAGGTGTACAAGAACTCTCCACTGCTCAGAAGCAGGGCTGCAAGTGTGGTGTGGCGTGGCCAGCCCAGCCCACCCGCCCCCCCCTAAGGTCAGAGAGCCCAGAGAGCCAGATACTTACGGAGTAAAATAAATTAGCTGAAAGATTGTGATCCCTCTGACTATTCCCTCGCCCACCTGGGATCTTCAGGGGTGGGTGAGGGACATCAGGAGCACCACTGAGGCCCTGGACCCAGGTTACTACAGCAGTTAAGGGAGACCCTGGAACTGGAGGAAAACGGGCTGGTTAGCGGTGTGGCCTTCACTGACAGGACCCTGAGCTTCAGCCAGACCAAGCTGAAGGCCAAGGCGTCCCGGAGTCCCAGCCAGAGTGGTGCCCACCCGAGATCGCCCTCCCCAGTCCCATGCTTACAACACCGGTCAAGGGGTCAAAATCAACAGCCGCCAGTCAGGGCGGCTCAAAAGCTCCCCCCGCCCCCTACCCTGAAATCGGAGAAACAAGCGGTTACTTAACGGGGCCTTCTTGGGCCATGCTTGGGTTACCAACCCAAAATTCCACTTAGTGCTGTCTTCCGTCCTTGAGTTATCTCAAGACAAAGACAAAGTCTCACTAACCCAATCCTACCTCCCCATCAAGTTTTACTTCCCACTTCTCACTCGGACTTCAGCTTCCCCCTTTCCATTTTGCAGTCTGTAGCAAAAATCGGAAATTCTAGCCCATTCTCAGAAGCCAGCAACATTTTGTGGGTCCACCACCAGCAGGGCGCGCTTAGGGGGAGAGGCCCGCGGAGGCGCCCCTCCCGCTGGACTCGGGATTGCGTCATCTCAGCAGCCTGCCCTGCGCCCCGGGGAGATTTTCACAATCGCGCAGTCGGGAGCGCCAGCAGCCATTTGCTGCGCAGTGTAAACAAGTCCCGAAGTCGCCTCCATTTTGCACGGCTCCCGTCTGTGGCCCCTCAAACCCCTGCCCGCACGCTTCTCGGCTCAGGATCCCCCCGCTGCGGGGCTAGTGGAACCCCGGAGGTGGCGGTGGTGGTGGTGGGTGCCTAAGATCTTACCAACTACAAGTAGCAGACTTCACATCGGACCCCCGGCCCCTGGAAATGGGCACAACTACGTTCAACCAAAACATCTCTAACGAGGGGGCGGCAAGAAGGGCCAGGCCCGTAGCCCGCGGCAGGGCGGTTCGGCAGCCACCGCCACCCACAGAAAAGCCCCCGGCGCCGCCTACGTGGCGCAGCCTCGCTCTGCCTGCCCTCGGGGCCTGGCGCATCCGGACCGATACGCTCTGGGGCCAAAAATGGGGGTCACTAAGAGGACCCCGCTTGTTCGAGCTTTTCCTCCGTCGGAGCGCTCAAGATCCCCCCCGGTCACCGCTAATGGGCCGCGCCTGCAAAGTGCAGATTCACGGGACTCGTGGGCCCGACTCGGCCTCGAATCAACCCGCCCCCCAATCTTTCCCCCCATCCC